ATCCATTCTCCAAGTCCTCATCCAAATCCTCCTAGTTTATCTCTTTCTTTATCCGATAGGAGTCCTGCACCTCGTCAACCATAGATCTCCCTCACATCTATTCTCCTCTATCTCAATCTTAACAACCACATCCCACTCATCTTACTTTATCTCCAATCAAGCAGCCTCCTCATTCTTCTGCGTGTTCAGCACCTTAACCGATAATCCACATCCACCCACCCCTCTTATCCTTTTGGTTCATACTTATCCTGCTCCCTTACCCCTTACGTAATCTTTATCTCCTATACCTTCTCCTTTATCTCATCCGAATGATAGTCACCAACTCACCCCCTTATCCCTTTGGTTGCTACTTATCCCAAACCTTCACCCACTGCACAATCTTCCTACCATCCTCTATCTCCTCTACCAGAATTTCTTGGTCCAACCAATCCAAATCCAAATCCAATCCCTCCTCTACCGTCTGATCCCAATGCCAATCATCATCCTATGCTCACCCGAACCACGGATGGTTCATGTAAGCCTTGCATTTTACCCTTTATGATCACTCAATTTTGTCCTTCAGACATTCCCAATGAACCTCGGACATTTACCGAAGATTCTAAATCCTTTCTCTGGTGTCGTGCAATGCACGATGAATATAATGTTTTGCTTGCCGACCATACTTGGTCATTGGTTCCTTTTAGGGGTGTCCATGGGCCAGGTTATCCATGGATTCTGTTACTTGGTCTAAAACTTGATAGACTCGATAGTTGGCCCGCCCGAGTCCGAGCTCAATATCTTTAAAAAGAGGACTTGTGCTTGCCCCCAAATCCATTACCCAGATCGAAGCCCGCCTACCCTTCATTTGGAAAAAAGTTATACTTTTAAATTATTAAATTTAAAACTTTAAAATAAGTCTCTGAATGTTGGAATTTGAAATTTTAAAAATTTAGATACTATAAATAATGTATTATTTTATTTTCCATGTATTAAGCATATAAGTTTTAAATGGTAGAGTAATGAAAATGATAGATAAGTGAGCAAGTTTCAACCTAGTTTTGATGTATTTATTCTATTAGATGCAGTTCATCCCCTAATTAAAAATAAAATTATTTATTATTTTATTTTTATCCATTTTGACTCTATTTTTGATTCAAAAATATAATTTACACAAATATTAAATTACAAAAATATTTATTATTTTTAAATGAAATTGTATATAAAAAAGCTTGCGAACAGGCCCGCCTAATAGGCTTGGGAGTTGGGTTGCAAGTAGCCTACCCCTACCCGAAGTCAGGTCTGGCCTACCTGATAACTCACTTGGATAAGGATTTGGACCTACACTACCCAAGTCTAACCCGACCCATGGATACCCCTAATTCTTTTGCTGCCATCTTCTAACATCATTGGATCAAATTGGGTTTTTAAAATTAAACGCCACTCTGATGGCTCATTGGAATTCTTTAAGGCACGACTTGTTACTCAAGATTTTAATTAGCAACATGGTGTTGATTATAAAGAAACATACAGTCCTGTGGTTAGTCCCACAACAATTTGGATAGATCTTTCCCTTGCATCATCTCACAATTGGTCGGTCCATCAGCTTGATGTAAAAAATGTTTTCTTGCATGACAATCTCATAGAGGTGGTTTACAGGTGATAGCCTAAAGGATTCATTCATCCTGATTTCCCAGATTATGTATGCCGCCTACATAAAGCTATCTACGGTTTAAAACATGCACCTCGTGCTTTGTTTTAGTGATTTACTGGGTTCTTGGATAGTCAAGGTTTTGATTGTAGCAAGTTTGATTCATCCATGTTCACTTATCGCTCAGCTTCTGCCATATGTGGCTATCTTGTTATTATATGTGGATGAAATATTGCTCACTGCTTCCTCGACAAATCTTTTAATTTCTATCATTGTGGCGCTCAAACATGAATTCTCTATGACTGACTTGGGATCTCTTCATCACTTTACTGGGTTCTTGGATCTTCAAGGTTTTCATTGTAGCAAGTTTGATTCATCCATGTTCATTTATAGGTCAGCTTCTGCTATATATGTCTATCTTGTTATTATATGTGGATGAGATTTTGCTCACTGCTTCCTCGACAAATCTTTTAAATTCTATCATTGTGGCGCTTAAACATGAATTATGTATGACTGAGTTGGGATCTCTTCATCATTTTCTTGGCATCTCTTCATCACTTTACTAGGTTCTTGGATCGTCAAGGTTTCATTGTAGCAATTTTGATTCATCCATGTTCATTTATCGCTCAGCTTCTGCTTTATATGGCTATCTTGTTATTATACGTGGATGAGATTTTGCTCACTGCTTCCTTGGCAAATCTTTTAAATTCTATCATTGTGGCGCTCAAACATGAATTCTCTATGACTGACTTGGGATCTCTTCATCACTTTCTTGGCATTACGGTTACTACTAATTTGATGGGTATTTTATGTCTTAGTCCAAATATGCTACATACCTCTTCGCCAGAATTAATTTGCTTCATGCCAAACCGGTTAGCACTCCCCTTGCGAGTAAGTCATTGTCTTCCATATCGTCTGATCCGCCTTATTCGGATCCATCGCATTACTGTAGTCTTGTTGGGGCTTTGCATTATTTGACTTTTAAGTGCTCATACATTCTCTTTGCGGTGCAATTATTCTGTCAACACATGCATATCCCATGTGAGTCTCATTTCATCGCTGTCAAATGAATTTTCCAATATCTTAATGTTACTGTCAACTTTGGTCTTCAACTTTACAAGGGACCCTTTGATCAAATTGTTGCTATTCTAACACGGACTGGGTGGGCTGTTCTAACACTCTTCGTTCTAAAACTGGATACTGTGTTTTCCTTGGTTACAATATCGTCTCCTTGAGTGCCAAGAAACAACCAACAGTGTCTTGCTTTAGCGCAGAGGCTGAATACTGTGTTGTTGCTTATGTTATTGTTGACACTTGTTGGCTCCGATCACTTCTTTCTTCTATCTGACTTGCATGTCCCTCTCAAATGGCCCACTATTGTTTATTATGACAATTCCAGTGCCACTTATTTACCTATCAATTATGTTCAACATGCTCGCACAAAGCATATCAAGGTGTATGTTCATTTTGTTTGAGAACGCGTGGGTTGGGGATTACTTTTTGTTCATTATATTTTGACACATGACCAATTGGCTAATATTTTCATAGAGAGTTTGCCTGCGGCCAAATTCAAAGAATTGCGGTCAATCTATGCGTGCTTCCACCCTCCGCATAGTTTGCGGGAGCATATTAGAGTATTTTTGCATTTATTCTTTTTATATATTTTTCAAGGCTATTTTAGCCAATGTAACCATGTACTCTGATTATAAATACTATAGAACATTACCCATGAAGGGTATGCATTCCATAATTCTACACTTTTGATAAGTACATTACATTTTAATTTTTTCATTATCTTTAGTAACTACTTTATATTTAAATTCTGTATATAATATCACTTTAACGCATTCATAAATAAATTTTTAATAATGTTAGCATGGAGTGGGGGTAGGTGTAAAAATCCAAGAAAATTTGAATTTTTGTGAAAAATGGCAAAAAAGTAATTTGTCACTTCGCTGCAAGTAAAAAACTCGTATTTTTCTAGAGCTCGAATGATGAGACTGATCTCACCGTTGGATTTCTCTTACGAAATATAGTTATTGTGTCCATTTTCATCGAATTTTGAGACAATCGAATTTTTTATGTTTTACGAGACAATCGGATGTCGAGTAACCTCAAAAATAAACCCGGGACTTAAATTTTGAAAAATAAAAAATAATTTAAATAAAGTTCATATAAAAATATTTTGAACTTGAACCGAGATAAAATTTAATCGTTTTGAGACGAAATCAAACTCGAAAAAAGAACTCGGAAAAGGAGGACGTGTGGTGCGATGTGGACCAAGCAATTAAAAGGTATAAATAAGGAAGAAAATCTGATTTTTCTTCCCATTCTCAGCTGGGCTTAACGTTGGAGAGAGGAAGAGAGGGAAAAAGTGAAAAGCTCCACCTTCTCTCTGTGATTTATAGAGATTCGTTGCTCGAATCGATTCGAGCCAAAAACAAAGATTGTTCTACGCCGCGAGGACTAAAAAACCATACCAAAAGGATGGATTTTACCGAAATTTCAAAAACGAGATTGAAGAAATCAAGGGTTTTGGGTGAGATTTGGGTTCTTATAGCTTCCTAGCATTATCTTACGCTTCAAGAGATTAAGTTTTTATCCTAACTATGTTTATTCCCAACTTAGGGTTGTGATATGAAATAGGTAGGTTGTTAGATATCTTTAGCATTTGCCTATTGTTGTTGTAAAATTGGTGAAATGAGTATTGAAATTGGGTAAAATTAATTCTAGTTTGAATTGGTACGTGGAAATTACTAACTTGTAATTTTTTTGAGAATGGTGTTATGTAGACATGCTATATGTTTATATTGTACCTATGTGAAATTAAGTATGTTATTGCATAGACTATGTATAACATTTTTTTTTCCAAACAAAAAATTGTATTGTCCTCGAAAACACTTTGAGACATTGGTTCGTACCACTTTTTGTTTTTTTATTTGTTTTTTTTAGGAGGGATTGTCGCTCGATGCAATCTAATTACGTAGAATAATTAAAAGAAAGAGAATGCAATATGCATGCTTGGTACATAATAAAATGAGACCTAATCATGCTGCTCCTAAGGTAGACTAATCAGCTGAAAAATGCATTCTAATTATTGGCTGCAGTATGTTGCTGAGGCAGCCGATAGCATGGGCTGTGAGAATGGATGCGTTGATAGCATGAGCTGAGAGCATGCTGCCCAAAATGAGTGATGATTACAGCACATATGAGCTTCAAGACAGCAACCGAAATGAGCTAAAAGATGGTAGCTGATCAGCACATATGAGCTGCAATAGTAGCATCCAACATGAGCTGAGAGACAATTAGGCAGTTGGTGTGGCATTTGATATCTCTGAGAAGCTATCAGAGTTTCAGGCAAATGAAAGGACAGCTAATAAGACAAGGAAACTGATAAGCCTACAAGATAGGGGGACTGAATAGCTTGGTTCAACGATTGAAAGGTTGTATAGCCTTTTTGGTAAGTCAGATGAATGGACTCCTTGTCAGTGAACCCAATGCACTGAACAAATGAGAGAAAATAGAGAGCCATTGAGAGAAATTGCAGCGATGCCAGTACCCATGAAGATTGAGAGAACTGAGTTGAAGAACACCCATAGTCCTTCTCAATTATACTAAGTAGAAGGTGAATATCTAGCTTTCCAGATTCGATGGGGAGACCAATAAAATTGATGCGCATGTGTTCCAAGACAGAGGGCATCCTCCGCATGTGAAGAAGATCCAGCTAGCTTCCAGAAAAATATAGATCTTGATCATGAAGAGCTTGGTAGGAAAATAGACAGTCCTGGCCATGTCTAAGGAACCAGACTGTCACAAAGACCTGCAGAAATGAAGAACAGAGAAGGAGATAGATCCAATCACCAAGAGCAGGACCAAGGCTTTCCTGATTAAATAGGGGTAATGAACCATGGATAGGATCCAATGAAAACCAGTCGGAGCAGGAAGGCCAACGGTCAAAGCAAAGAAGGAAGTAGATCCATGTAAAGATGATGAAACAGTAACAGGGATCCTTTAAATCAAGGCAGAGGAGAAGATCGTTTCTGACTTCCTTGCAGAAAGATGAAGGTCTGTCCTTGCTAGAAGAAGAGCATAAGAGGTATAAAAAAAAAAAATTGAAACGCTTCCTTAAACATTGTATGTTTCTTGTATCCTGTTGCATAAGTAGACTAGTATAGACTGGAAGGTCTCCCGTAGATTCATAGACACAAGAACTCCTATCTGTAGAAAGGTTAAAAAGCTCTCACCAGCCTCATGAATCTTGTAAAAGGTTCCTCCTGTGCAATTAAATGAAATCCCAATTGGGCAGAGAGGGCACTCCATATAAAATTGGAAAACCTGCACTGGATAAAAACATGAGCTCTTGTTTCACATTCCTGATTGCAGAGAACACATTTTCTGGCTAGAGCCACCCCTATATGTTGGAAAGTATCATCCATAGGTAAAGAGTGCTGTAATATTCTCCATCCCAATAGCTGAGCACTTGGAGGCACATGTTGTCTCCAAACTGTAGCAGCTGGAGTATTGACAATGCCCTCCATTCTTACAATCTGCCATGCAGATTTCACAGTGAAATATCCTAGAGAGGAATTTTTCCAAATTAGTCTGTCCTGTCCTGAGTTCAGGTGTAACTGAATAGCAGTAATCTCCTGGAGCAAATGAGGGTCCAATATGTACTGGATCTCTGCCAGTTCCCAGTGTCCATTCACATATAATTGAGCTAGTTTTGGAAAGACTGATGGCTTGACAGAATTTCTAAGAATTAACGGCCCCAACCCAGTCAAGTTATCACACCAGAAGTCAACTGTACATCCTGAACCCACTAGCATTAGAGTATGTGTCACCACCAATTCAATCTAGGGGGCCAATTCTCTATATCCTCTACCATGGATTTGAGCAGTAGAAGCTAGTAAATGCCTATTCCCCACAAATTTTACAACAAAAATCCTGGACCATAGGGTAGTTCTATGCATCAAGTGCCACACCTGCTTCATTCTGAAGGCCGTTTGCACATCCTCAAATCTTCTTATTCCGAAACCTCCCTCCTCTTTGGGCATAGTAATAGTTTTCCAAGAACACCAATGTCTTCTTTTAACATTCTGCTTACCAGACCAGAAAAACCAGATATTGCAGAAGTAAGTTTACCAATAATCCCCTTAGGTAAATTCAATGAAGCTAATAAATGAATAGGCATTAAGTTCAAAACTGATTGAATCAAAACTAATCTTCCAGCATTAGAAAGCATCTTCCCATACCAACCCTGCAGTTTTGCTTGCACTTTCCTCAACAATTCCTCAAAGTAAATAAGTCCAATACTGCCCCTTATAATTGAACAACCCAAGTAAGTGATTGGGCAAGACTTAAGTGGGATCTGTGCTACTTGGGTCAATTGATTCCTTCTATGCAGGGGTATTTTATTAGAACAAATCAAAGAACTCTTCTGTTTATTCACTAGCTGCCCAGATGAGGCCTCATATCTTTTCACAAACTTCAAAAGATTAATCATTGAACTCTTATGACCACTCAAAAAAATGAGGGTGTCATTTGCAAATAATAGATGTAATAAGGGGAAAGAACCTCTACCAGTATGGTAGTACTTTACTAACTTGTGTTCAAAAATCCTCTTTAAACCTCTACTCAAGACCTCCTCTGCAATAATAAACAGGTTTGGAGATAATGGATCTCCTTATCTAAGCCCTCTAGACTTTGGGAAAAAGCCATGTCTTACCCCATTAATAGCCAAGGACACAAATTGATTCTGGAGGCAATTAGAAACAACACTCAAAAACCTTTCTGAAAACCCAAAGCAACTTAAAGTATTTTTTAAGAAATCCCATTCCAGTATGTCAAAGGCCTTCATCATATCAAGCTTCACAATAGCATTTCCAGCCTCAACCTTTATATCAATTTCATTCACCATCTATTGAGCAAGGGTTATGCTATCACCAATGTTTCTACCTTTGACAAAACCCTGTTGTTCATCAGAATTGATTGTGGGGAGCAATATACTTAACCTGGAGGACAGAATCTTTGTAAAAGCTTTGTAAAGAAAATTACATAAGCTTATAGGCCTGAACTATGCAAAGGTTGTGGGTTTCTCAGTTTTAGGAATAAGAACCAATAAAGTGGCATTAATAGACTTAGGAACTTCTCCTCCTTCAATGAAAAAATTAGTAGCCTTCAACAGATCAGACTTAATAATATCCCAGGCAGATTGGAAAAATTGGCCAGAAAAACCATCAGGTCCAGGTGCACTGTAAACAGACATTGAAAAAATCACCTCCTTCAACTCCCCTAGTGTAACTGGAGAAGTAAGCATAAGGTTATCCTCAGCTGTCACTAGCTTGGGAATACAAGAAAACAATTCCTCCTCCAACATATGAGGTTCAAAAGCATACAAATCCTTAAAAAATCCTACCCCACATTCTGCAATTCCTTGCTCATCTTCCACCCATTGATTGTCTGAGTTTTTAATTCTGAACAGTCTATTCATTACAGCTTTACTCTTAGCAAGAGCATGGAATAATTTAGTGTTTCTCTCTCCCTCTATTGTCCACTTCACATTAGCTCTCTACCTCCAGAAAATCTCCTCTATTTTCAGGGCCTTTTCCAACTCAGCTTTTACATCCATTAGAACTTGAGAATTGTTCATTGAATCATCCCTCTCAAATTCCTCTTCTGCTCTAACCAGTCTGTTCTCCAAGGCTTTAATATTCTCAAAAACGTTTCCTTGTTCCATCTTCTCAAGTGAAACTTCAAATACTTTAACTTCAAAAAGAAATTCTCAATAGGGTTAGCAGAATACTGCCTTGACCAGCTGCTATTCACTAGCTGCAGAAAACCAGGATGTTCCACCCACATATTTTGGAATTTAAAGTATGAAATTCTTGGCGTAGAAACAGCTTCAACAAACTTTACCACTAATGGACAGTGATCAGACTGTCCTCTGCCAACATGCTCCACTATAGTACTCTAGAATCTTTCTCCCCATTCCACATTAACCAAGGCTTTATTCAATTGTTGCCACATTCTTGTCATTCCATGATGGTTATTGCACCATGTGAAAGATGTACCCGTAAATCCAAAGTCTTGCAAAGCTAGAGAGTTAATTATTGATATGTACTCATTCATAATTGATATACTAGGAACAACAACCCCTTTTCTTTCTGCAGAAGAAACTATAGTATTAAAATCACCAACTACAATCCATGGTTTCAAATTAACAGGTAGGTCCACCAGATGCTTCCACAACTCCCTTCTCAATATGTGATCACATTTTGCATAAACAATAGTGAGAAAGAAAGGTTCAGAGCCTAGAAAAGAAGCTTCCACTGTTAGTGCTTGTTCATGAACTGCTACAATATTAACTGACAGTCGATGATCTTAAAGAATCCAGATGAATTTCTCAGCTAATGGATTAGCATAGTAGGATGAAAAACCCATATTTCTACACAATTGGGGTAACCTCGATGACTTAAGTTTAGGCTCTAAAATAGAAACTAAACAGATATCATGCATTCTAATTAATTTAAACAACCTGAGCCTTGAAGCTTCTTGGTTTGCACCTCTGACATTCCACGTAATTTTATTAATCATTTTCTTAATTAGAGAAATTTGGTTTGCTAGACCGAGATCTAGTAACGACACCCAATCGTGGAATGGAATTTAGATCATAGCTCACCTCGACATCAGAGTCATGAGAATCAATTTCCATACCCTCTCGACTTCCTGAAAATTCTCCTTTTGAGTGAAAACCTTTATCTGGAGGTTCCTTAGTAATTTGTAGTCCCCTATCATCATCCAATGTAGTTCTAGAATTTTGTAGACATGCATAATTATGATTGATCAAAAAAGTTGAATCTAACAGATTTTGAGCAGCATCTTTCAAATTCCTTTCATTTTTTCCTGATTTTGTTGAACAGGAATATCTTTATGTATATTAGAGGGAGGATTACCTGCATGCAATTGAGGAACAGACTGAATCCCTTGATGAATATTCGGTGGAGGGTTTTCTACTTGCAAATTAGGAGAAGATTGGTTTTCTTCCAGCACATTAAGATTGGGAGATAAAACATCTTTCCCATAATGTTCCCCTATTTCCATAATCTACATTGCTGCTTGAGAAGGGGAATCTACCGCTTGCCTTGGACTTTCCAAATTCACATTCACCGTTGATTGTATTGCCGAATTTTGGGATTTACTGAGGATCCTCCAACGTTTTGTTTCCAAATTTTTTGAGGTTTCTGAATCAAGTTTGCTTGATTTACTGACTCCATATTCGACTTCTTTGCATTCTTCCCTCTATTGCCTTTGACTGGATTGATAATCTACGAGGATTGTACTGCATTTCTTTTTTCCGCTGCCCTAATATATGGAATATCTTCTTGTAAATCTAGATCCTTTCATTCTGCGTCCATTTTCTGAATTGGAGCTTTCATCTTCCTGCAATCTTCATCGCCATGGCCTTGCTTCTGACAAACCTTGTAGAATTTTTTAGTCTTCTCGTAGATAATTTTCTGCCATCTTGCTCCCTCGTCTTCCATGTCTAACCAAATTCTTGAAGGATTGCTAGCTAGTAAATTTACTTCAACGCATTCTCTTGCTACCCCTGGACGAGATAAGGATAATGTAGACTGGTCATAAGCTAACACCCTACCAATTGGCTTCACCAGTAACTCCAGATATTGTCAATTGAAGAAATTCAGTGGTAAC